CTCCACAACATCACTGAGAAAAGTCCCAGGAGAAAATTCTTTGCTGTTTTTTTTTTTTAGTTGTTACAGTGGAAAATGTTTTAGAGGTAGCAATGTTATTTTTCTTCTACAGAAAAGACCACTTTGCTGAAACTACTTTATTGAAACTGCAAAGATATTTCTTATTCCAAAACCAAACTTTGCTGTTATAGCAAAATTAAAATTTTATGAAAATATTTCTGCTTCTCCGAAATAGAACTTTTCTAAGATAGATAGATACTTTACTGTTGCAGCAAAAAAAAATTCCTGCAATTTTTGTTATTGTTACAGTAATGTTTTTTGCTACCCTAGCCAAATAACTTAACTAAAAATACCGTTCGGACATTTCCGTGATTTCTTCGGGTCCAAAAATAACCGATAAAATATGTTTCGTGTTCATTTTCTTCTATTTTAGTTTAGTAGCTAACGCCGTACGGTGTGGATCGTGGATGCTGTCGAGTCAAGTCGAGTGTCGGTCGCTGGGAATCTTTTTGGAAATGGTGCCAGCGCATCCATCAAAACTAGCAGAAACAACTCTAGCGCCAAACTTTTCATTAATTGACATTTCAGATCAGGTAATGAAAGTTTAGGGGTTTAAATAGTTTGTTTATCTCCTGGTTTTGTTATGATGGACGCGCTACTACATATTTCCAAAGATTTCCAGCAAAATATTTTTGCTATTGGTGAGACAAATAACTTCCCATGGCTAATAAAACACTTGGCTGATTCTGGCAAGAAATTTTTTGTTCTGAGACAAACGCTTTCCTATTTCAGGAAGCATTTCTAATAACAACAACAAATATCTTTTCTGTCTTAGCAATCTACTTTTCAATAGCAAAAAAGGATGTTTTTGAGGGTATATAACCTCTTTTCTAGGACAGCATAGTTACTTTCCTACGACAGCAAAGTAGCTTTTCTATGCCAGCAAAGTGACCTTGTAGAAACTGTGAGTAAATTCTTTATAAAGTCACTTTGCTACCGCAAATAAACGATGCCAGTGAAGTTATCTTTTCGGCGGTAGTAAAGATCTTGGCTGTCCCCTATGTAGCCAAAATTTTTGGCTACGGCTGCAGAAAAATTAGCTATGACAATGAAAAAATTTTCTCAGTGATATAGCCACAAATGCCTCTCTTGCCAGCATTCAGCGAAAATTGAGCAGCGAATTGTTACGTCTCAAAGGTAATGGGCCAACAGCAGCTTTGTGGGTTCAGTACTTTGAAATGGTGGTGTTGATGAAAAAGTTCATTGCAGCACAGCGCACTGGTAACTGGGAAGATCGTATTACATGCACCCAACTGATGATACCTTTCTTCCATATGCCAGCGGTCATTTTTACTATGCCAAATGTACTCAGCTATAAGATATGCTGGGACTAACAACTCGCCACCCTCAACTTAAACAGGACTTTATAGATCGTGGATACTTCACTATCAACAGAACTGGAACACCAATGGCTGGTTTGTGGTCTGATATGGCCATGTGTGACATGAAGAGTGAAGGGGGACTTACGCGTGGGCGAGGCTTAAGTGACTCGGTATTGACGAAATGGATTGGGGAAACACGCACAGCTACAGAAATCTAGTTCACTTGAGATGTTTTGTGGAGTCCATTCTACAAGCGGAGAACAGCATGTTGACTTTCGAACCTCACGAATAACCAGAGATGATTTAGACAGAAGAAAACTTGCTCAATGGTTGAATGTTCACCCGCCTTCTGCCGAACGTAATTATTTGATGTCATTTTCAACAGGAATAATTGGAACGAGTAAATTCAACTGCCACCAGGCACCAGGTACCCGTACAATGAAGTTGGAATGAATTTCTCAGAAATAAAACAATCCAAGAAGAACTCGGTTGTTTCTTTGGCTGCGATGAACAATACGATGAAAATGAATGATGAGATGGTGGTGGTAGAGCCTCTGATATTTCAGAGAACTCTGATCACCAAGAAGAAAGAAGAGGATATAGAGGAGTTGCTGAAGTACGATTAGCCCCATACCCTATGGCTTTATTCGTGGAGAGAATAATGAGAAGAACCACAAAATCAGCACTGTATAAATCTTTCAGCTGATCAATCTCAAAAACAGTTTTACGGTGATCGATGGCGGCTTTCTGCTTCATAGAGTAAAGTGGAACACTAACACTACCTTCGCGTCCATCTGCGATCAATATGTGTCGTACATACTCAGCCATTACGGTGACAGTTCATTTGTGGTTTTTGATGGTTATGAAGATGCAAACTCTACGAAAAGAGCAGAACAAAATCGGAAAGCATCCAGCTAGTGAAACATCTGTGGATAGTTCAAGCACTAAGTGCGAGAGGTATACAATCTACTGTAGCCAAAGGAGATGCCGACTGCAGTATTGTCAGGCGTGGGTTGCAAAACACCTCTCATTCAACTATAGTAATAGTTGGTGAAGATATAGACCTGCTAATGTGTTTTTCATGAAGGCCGGACGAGGCAACACGGAAGAGGAAGTAGAACCTTCCTTCACACCATCTTCAAACTTTATTATTCAGCCAGCATATTCCTTTCATTCATAGTTTCAACAAACATTACGCCAAAGTTTTTTATGACTCAAAATCTTCACCAGAAGATATTGCTAAAGCTGGCGAAAGAATGTTTTTGCTCATGTACCAAGCCCCGCCAAAGGAGAATGATCTAAATCACCACAGGTAATTTCTTTTTTCTTTGCTCACTTTCCCCTTTTCACGCAAATCTTATAATTCATGAAACTTATTATTAGACAATAATACGTACATTATATTATTAGTAAGAGAATAATATTATATTCAACATTAATGAGGTACCACTATCGGGACTATCTACAACTCTAATCTATGATTTTTGGTTTTGTTCGCAGATACATGTGCGTTAAATCAAGTGCAAAAATGAAAGCCAACCTATGCGCTTTGCCGCCTACAAAAAAAGCTGGCATGCAATATTCTTACAGAGTGCATCTGCAGGTACAGCAGTGGTTGGGGAACAAATCCCTTCCTGCTGAAAGTTGGGGTTGGATAAGAAAATATGCTGGATACCTCAACCCCATCAAGACAAATGCCCCTTTGGCCCCAGACAGTGTCCTCAAAACACTCTTCTATCGATGTTCCACTGGCTGCGGAAGAAGGTGTGGTTACAGGAGAGCTGGAATGAACTGTTCGATGGTGTGCAGTAACTGTCAAGGCTCCTGTACAAACCGTGTGCCCTTTCAACAAGGCTTGGGGCATTTTGAAGAAGAGTTTGATCTATTCGGAACTTTTTCCGAAGAAGAAGAAATTGATTGAGAATAAAATACGCATATCGAATACAAATACATGTTATTTAAACTTTTAGGAACAAACGAAACTTAAGTAAAGAGCATTTTAATAGCGAAATGTTAAAACGTGTCTCTAAACTTCCTAACTTCCAAACACCATAACCACTTACTGGGTTTGGGTGAAGTAGCAAAATTATATCTACAAGTATTTGAAAAAGATTTTTTGGTCTTAAACTTTTTTTTTTTACTGTAATATCAAGAAAAACAGTTACAGAAGGAATATTTACTTACCTTAGCCGCTACCACTTTTTTTTGATAATTTTGCATATTCTGCGGCTCATATATGGAAAACGGTAATACTTGTATAAATACATATACATCAATCGAAAGGAAATTTCATTAGCTTCAATTTTACAAGGTAAAAAATTTTCTGTGGGACGCACCATTCTCGAGATAAAAGCCAAAATCTGGAAAGTGACCTTTGTGACGCCCCCTTCCCCCCAAGGCGCATGAAATCGACGGGACTTTATAACACGTTGTCATTGACATCATCCCCTACACATTTATGAAAAATCGGAACTCCATCATTTAATGGAAGATTCGCCGCCATTTTGAATTAGTTTGCTTGGACTATTAGATGAAAAGTGAGAGAAACTAAAGAGAGAGGCACAATTAATATTGTAAATAGGCCCCCGTGAAATTCAATCAAATTTCAATATTTTAAAGGTATCATCATTGCAAAAAAAAAAATTGAAATGTAGAGAGGATCGTATATCTGTGATAGCAGATATAGCTTGTCAAAGTACGTAGGTTCTGCTATGCTATGCATAGGAAATATCCGAGGAAATATCCTTACGTGAATCTTCTTGAATATCTTGGAAAATACTTATCCGATTTTGACCTTTCTGGGGTTTGATACCTACAAAAGGACTACAGAAATGTCAAAATCGGATCAGTATTTTTCGAGATATTCAAGAAAATCTACGTAGGGATATTTCCTCGGATATTTCTTATGCATAGCATAGCAGTACCTAACGTACTTTGAAAAGCTATATCTGCTATCACAGGCATACGATCCTCTTTACATTTCAAATTTTCTTTTGCAATGATGATACCTTCTTCAAAATATTGAAATTTGGTTGAAATTTTTTGGGGCCTATTTTCAATGTTAATTTGTGCCTCTTTCTTTCTAATTATTGATCACTTGCATGTTGCATGTGAACAAAGTCCAGTGCTTTCCAGGAAGTCCTTCTAGACCTTCTAGGCAAAATCATTTATTTTTATTGGGATATAGGTATTGACGGTATTGTCCATCAGTAGTGCACTCGAGGCTAATATAAATCGCAGTCCCTTGATTTTCTTCAGGGAAATTATCCAACGAATCAGGTGCCGATTATAATAAAATTTTCGACGACTGGTTTTTGATTCGTAGACCAGTTTTTCAAAAAGGCTCATAGCAGATATCAATAGTTGATAATAATCAAAATTTCGACTTTTGGCTTTTGATTCGCTGCACAGTTTTTCAAGAAGCCAATATTATAGAAATCAAGCTTTTAATTTTCTTCAGATAAATTTTCTAGAGCTGATAAGAATCAAAATTTGGACTATTACCAGCTCTTGATCTTGATTGGCCGAATAGTAGGCTTTTGATTTCCTTTAGGGAAATTATCCAACGAATCAACAGCCGATAATAAGGAAACTTTTGAGAAAATTGTGCAAAGTAGATACCTACATATATTTTATTTGGTATATATGTATCTATGCCTATTTACATTCAAAATCATCTTTTGTATCTATCCATGGATATGCTTCATAGGATGTCGCCGGTCTCCCATTTCTATGGGGTATCTATTAGCCAATAAAGAAGGTGGAATATTTTCTAAATTTGTAGCATTACAATCGACTTGAGTCATATCGAACATAAACGAGAGATCGATGTCGTACTGAGGCAGTTTTTCTCTTAGGTAAGATATAACGTTTATGCCGAGAGTCGGTTCTCGGCTCATAATAAAGCTGGAAAGATATCTGAAACAAAACAATATTATGTTTATTTTAGTCGTTTTTGTTATTAATTACTATACCTTGGTACTTTAGATTTTTCTGCACAATGTAAGAGTAAAGCCCACGAAACGTAGTCAGAATCCAGAACATATGTGTTGTAAACTCCTTCATCTGAACAGATATATAAGTTTACACAACAATTATCACTCGAAATAAATTCTTACATGTATCCTCCGAATGTGTCCAATGAGCAGGTACAGCAGGATTAGGTATAGTCCAAGTAATATTTCCAATTAATTGCTCGTTTAAAGGATCATCAGTAAAACTGTAAGTGAAATTCATAGTGATCACTTCTGGCGACGACATAGTGAATTCGGCGCGCATACATCTATAGGCCAAAGCTTCTTCGGAGCTCGCATAGTATTCCATCACGTACCATTTGTGCAATATCTGACATAAGTATTTTTATCAATAAAATTTGCAAACTAATTAAAATTTGAGATAGAAAACTTAAACATCTGTGCTAAAACCACTTATTTCTACTTAATAAAGCAACTAATGAGATATTTTTCTATTAATCACAAAGGTAATCTCCTGTATGATGCTTATAACTACTGGCATTACTAATTGATGCAGCAAAAGCCTGCAAATTAATTAATTAAACTAGAAAATCGCTCATACACTTCAAGTAGTTTATTTGTTGGCGCTTAGAAAACTGCTCATTACTGGACTATAATATTTATGTAGGCATGCAAATTGCTTCCTGGATTTCTAGTTTATTAGCAGTTTCCTTAAGGAAAAAAGTGAGAACGGATTCGAATATCGATTTTCTATCTACAATTTCGAATTGTATTGATTGTATTTTTAGACCTTACTCCTTCTATATCGAAATTCCTTATGGCTTTAACTTTAGGACATTTTGTCTTATCTTCTTTTCTTTTAGCACACAACACTAAAGCCAGTAGGAACACAAAAATCACAAACACAATTTTCCGCATTTTATAAGCCGTCATTTATAGAATTAAAATAATAATTAATATTTTATCAATAAAATGTTCTGGTAAAGGGGAAGTCATGTTGTGTTATCTCTGCTAATGTGGGAGATTGAAACTATTTTAATTTTTCATATCCAATGATGTAGTAAACACATTCATTAGTTTTATTATAAATATTTTCTGTGGAGTAGGTTGATGTTTTATTCTTTTTATAGCTATACTAATATTGGATGACTAATTTTGATCGGTTTATGGATTTAACGTGACTAAAATACATTATGTTACTAATGTTCTTTTATTTAGCAGGTGTGTTAACGAATATACTTAATGTTGACATACTTTTCATTGTCAGTACAGCCTCATTTTCCAACAGGTTGAAGAAATTTTATCTTTATTAGAAGGTTGAAGTTTTAATTTAAAAAAAAAAACACAATATTAAGGTGATAAATAATATAATATTTATTTGATCTTATCAAGTCTACATATTGGACTTTTCTGGACCATTTCCAAATCAACTTTCGGTCCAACCAAATCCCTAATATTATTAAAACCATATTTAATCATAGTAGGTCTTTCCAAAGAAAGACCCCAAGCAATAACAACAACGCCTTCGGGTAAGCCCATTGGTAACAACATTTCTGGTCTGAAAATGCCCGAGTTGCCAATTTCAATCCATTTGTCTAAGCCGGGATGAAAGCAGAAGATTTCCATGCTAGGTTCGGTGTATGGGTTGTAGGCAGGTTTGAATTGAAGCTGAGTTATACCTGGTAATAGAAAGTTTTTTAATTATTTTCCATTTATATATGTGTTTTCTTGAAAATAATACAGAACATCTTTTCACCATGTTTCAATAACCCACCTATTTTCTCGAAAAATGCAGCAAAAACCCCAATCAAATCCCCCAAAGTTAAGTTATAATCTGCTATAACGCCTTCAACTTGATGAAATTCAGCCAAATGCGTGGCATCTAAAGTTTCGTTTCTGAAAACCTAAAAAAAAAAAATATTTAATTTCAAATATTAAAAAAATCACTATTACCTTATCTATGCTGAACAATTTTAAAGGCACAAAGTTTTTCTTCCGGATCAGTCGTGGCATTTGTGCATATTTATACAGTACTCTCGCACTGACAGCCGTAGTATGGGTTCTCAGTAAATTTTTTTGGGCTTCCTCTAATTTCCAATTATACCCATAACTGAAAAAAACATTTTCATTCATAATCAAATCCCAAATAATATTCTTACCCTTGCGATCCATATCCACCCTTACTATGAACAGTTTTCACCTTCTGTAGGTAAAATTCAGGAAAGTAGTCACTACGCTGAGGATCAGAAACGAAAAAAGTGTCGTGAGCGTCCCTAGCAGGGTGTTGCTGTGGCTGGAAGAGGGCATCGAAATTCCAGAAAGAGCTTTCTACATAATTGGTCGTGTCCATTTCCTTGAAGCCCATTTCAAGGAAAATTTGCCTGAATTCTGCTCTGACTTTAAGGAGCGGGTGCAGGAATCCTGAAGATGGAGGAGCCCCTAGTGCGTCAAAATTGTATTCTTTGAATTTTAAATTTTTCCAGCTGCCGCTAGTTAACATATCAGAAGTTAAGTCGGTTTCCAGTTTTTGTAAGCTTAAACTGAATTCAGGCCCCTTTTTCAAAAGGAAACTTTTCACGACTATTTCTTGTATTAGTTTTCGCTTTTTATAATCAGCTTTTTCTTTGTCAGTTAGTTTGGAATGATCGCCTGAAGCAACCAGTTTAAGCTGCTCCTGAACCAAGTCTTCGATTTGAGGCACTTTTCTTTTTACCAAAGGTGGATTTGCGGATTTGTCCACTAAAACCCAGCCATTGGACATGGCTTTGCTGAAACCAACTTTGGCATTTGGTAGTTTCATTAAGTCGGCTTGAGGTGTGCCCTCTTCTGGAACCAAGTTGTAGAGATTTGCTTCGTGGCTACCTGAAATTCGGTACTATGAAATAGTGTTCAAGACTGATATTATGGTTGTTATAAAGACATTCTAGGATTTACAGATTATATAGGTACTCATCTGAAATTCCTAAATAATTACTCTGTTGTTATAGTTAGAAGGACCGTGTGCTAGACAGGGCACTTGTAATAGGGCGTAATTTAACATTAGGTTACTTAAGTCTTAAAATAAATCTGGATGACCATTTGGTTAGACACTCTGGAAAGGTTTTTTATTGTTTATGTAATTTCGGTTTTTCAGTTAAAACAAAATGTGTATGATTTCCATATTTGACAATCATTGATCAATGAATCTCATGTATTCCCATACCAAGAATTGCGACTGATTACCAATGATTTTCAGATATTTTTGTATGATTACCAGATAATTTCCATTTTTTGGGATACCTATATCATTCCCAATTAATTACCTGATTTTCTCAATGATTTCCTACAATCATCTGATTTCCAGCTGATTTTATTATGGAAACGATGGCCAATTGTTAAGCTCCACAGTGATATGACCAAAATAAACAGTATTTTCTCTTATGAAAACACGTTTTTACTGAAAAATTGGCAACCTCTGTATTTGCAAATTTTCCAAAAGCTAGCAACTTTTATTTTCATGAATTCATGGGTGTCCACACCCACACCGATTTTGTTTTAGGTATAAATAGTTGTTGAGCCCTAGATACCATTGCGTGTCTACACTGCATAATATGGATCTAAAATAAAGGATATTTCTTTGATTTCACTAAGATGTTCATCTGAATCAGAGACATCTTCAGTTAGGGTTTCACTCGACAAACTTATTTCTGATTCAGATGTGCTATCATCTCTGCTTCTCGCACTGCCTAATATTTATTCTACTTTCCCTTTTCAAGTTCTTATTGCCTTGGATTCCCGACTTTTTCTTTTGTGTCTTCCTCAGGGACATTCCCATAGCTCTTAATACTTGATCAACAAACATCCCTCCTTGTCTGAAAAAAACTAAATTAAAGTTGAACCCTGAATAATCTCTTTAATTGTAGCGAATCGCAGTTGCTAAACTCTGATGTGTGAAGAAATTCTGTGTTTTCCGGATTCGAGAGATGTTTCAAGATTCATGTTTTCATTCTTATGATCCACAACATTGTCATACTTCAGGTCTGTTCTCACAGAAATCACAAACCAGTCAGAGCGAATTTCATTAGTTGAAAATAGTCAGAAAATATCAGGTGGTTGATGATTTGCACCAATCAAAGATGCTCTGACTGGTTTGTGATTTCTGTGAGAATAGACCTAATCTTAATCTGTTTCTTCTTCTTCAAGTTCTAAACTCGTCGTAGTCTCGGGTTCAGCTATCTCAGTTATTGGGAAACTCGTTGGGATATCAAATTAATTACAAATTGCCTAGCAGTCATGTTGCCTAAAACTTAGTCTTAAAGGCAAATACACAACTGACCGGTACGCTGTATCGTTAAAAATGTATGATATGCGATTTCTGGGTTAGAATGAGCTGATATTTTCAGCGATTACCACATGATTCTCAGCGATTGCCAGTGAATTCTTATGTGATTCCCATGGAGTCCTAGGAGATTCCTACTGATTCCTAGGATATTTCCAGGGACTCTCAAGTGATTTCCATGTATTCCTGATTGATTTCTATGTGGTTCCCAAAAAAATGTACAATGATTTCCACTAGTGGTTTACCCCTCGGGTCAAGCAAATGCAAATGGCTGGGACGTAAATTTGAGGGGCATATTTTAGGTTGAACAGGCTCGAAACAGCCCCAAACGGGATAAGTCAGCAGCACTAGATGTTTGTTTGACTTGCGCAGATAATCACAACTTAAAATAGTAGTGAGGACGCGCATAGATATTTGAATTTCGAAAGAATACACTTGATTACAAAGGAATAGAATACAAAGGAATACATATGAATATACATAAGGCATACATAATAATACATTGCATAATATGAGAAAATAGGAATACATGAGGCTTGTATACTGAAATACATTGGCGGTATCCCCTAGGTAAAAAACTACCTAAGTAACGGTGAATCAGAATGGTTGCATTTTAATTGAGGCAACCCTGTAGTGGCTAACCCTAGTCACTGCAGAAATCTTCTCACCCCTAAGGGATCGAGACTTGGATGGAAATATCATGGAGATCTGTCGAAATGCATGGATATCTGTGGAGCAACATGGAGGATATCGATCCATAGAGATCTATGGAGTTCCAAGAGGATCTCCACAAATGGAGTCCTAAAAAATTGCAAGCAACTACCCCCTCGATTTTAAATTAATTTGAAAAAATATATTGTAGCATATTATTATTTGCTATACCTACCTATAAATGCATTTATTGTTAATTATTAAAATTTTCATATCAAGGAGTAAGTGGTTTCCCTTAGTAGATACAGCTCAAAGGGTAAACCAATCCTGAGATTTTTGACCAATATTTCCCCTTGGGGGAATTATTTCGCAAATATTGCCTTTATTTCTTATATTATTCAGTAATTTCCGATATTGCCTTATATTTCCGGTAATTCCCTAATAATTAATATAATTCCTCCGTAATTTTTGTAATTGCCCAATATTTCTCTGTATTTCATTTATTACTGTTGCAAAAATACATCGACAACTCAGCGAGAATTCTGAGAAAATTACATGTTTAAGTCGGGCAGCATGTCTTCTGGGAATTCCATTATATACGATTCAATGTTATTCTAGACAGATCCGGAGTGCGATTTTGACTATAAATAGCCCGGAGTAATGAGTTTGGTTTTAATCCGATATTTGTATGTTTCGATAAGTGGAAAGTTAATTTTGCAATAAATCAATCAGTTTAATACAAGTTGTTACGTTTTTTACTGATGGTGAAGTGAGTTTTAGGAAACCCAGAATCAGTGAAAATTTGGTGTCAGGAATGCGATTATTAGTATAGATTTTCCAAAGTCAATTGGAACAAGGTGAACATAAATCATAATAATTGGTGCATTAATTTGAGCTAAGTAGTAGGATCTTCGGTAGGATCATTCAGCATGATAATTAATGGGGCATTACCTAATATGAGCTAATTAATGGAATAATTAGCAAGACAATTGGTCAATGGATTTTCTGGAAAATTGTATGAACTTCTATAGAATTCTATTTGGAAACCGTAAGTAATAACTTTGTTCCAACGCATCAAGAAACCGTATAATGTACCGTCACGATTGTGCGTAAAGCCAAAAATTTGTGCCTAGAACCCAAAATTTGTCTACAGAGTGGTTTCAAAAACGTTCATGGGACAATTTTTGACGTGTTAGAGCAACCTAATACAAGATTAGTGACTTTATTACTGGCTTCGAAATTGAACAACTCAGAAGCGGTTTTTCTTGAAAATTCTAGAAACTTCCATAGAATTTTATTTGGAAAATGTAAGTCATACAGGAATAGTGACTTCATTACTGATTTCGATATCAAAAAAAAGTCCACAGGGTGATTTTTCTAGAACATGCCATTGTGTTCTATTTATGCAATATATTCTATGGTGAATACACGACAGCAAACCGACAGCATCCGAAATTGAGCAAGTTAATGAAATCTTGGCGGAATTCATGAAAAATTTGGACAAGAGACAAGAGGAAGACCGAAAACAAAAGGAAAGACTAGAAGAAGAAGTCCAAAGATGGAAAGAAAAACAAGAAGAACAAGACCGGCTTGCAGCACTTTTATACAACAACAAGAAGCTTGAAGACAGAAAGAAAAACAACAAGAAGAAGTCAGAAACAACAGAACCTGCCTGTAGCCTTTTTACAACAATAAGAAGATGGAAGACAGAGAGAGAAGAACATAGGGTTGCCAGATTTGCGAGAGGGAAAAGCGTGGCAACGACGGTGGGGGGGGGACAGGAGATTATTCAATTTTTTTTATTAATTCTAACCCACGCACAAGGAGTTTAGTCACCTTTAGTGAGGGTAAATCTTTTATTTTTTTAAGTAAGTGAGATTGTATAAAAAGTCTGTCTCAAAATTAAAGATAAAAGTCAAAATGACATGGTGATGACATGTTGGCAATACAATGTAAAATTGTCACTGCTTTCAAATTTTGTACATACGTAAAATGGCTACAAAATAGAATACTACTTTCATGACGTCACCCGCGATTTATTTATCGCGTACAGTACAAGCGATGATGACGGTTGCTAGGCAACCTGACGGCATGAAAGTAGAACTCTAGTAGAATTCTACTCGTGATCCATCCCTGGGGTTTTATCTTTAATAAAAAAAACAGACTTTAATATATGGAAAGAAAAAATAAAACTATCATTTTATGATAGAAAATGTATGACCCCTGGGCCCTGGGTAGGGTTGCCAACTCTCCCGATTTAGGCGGGAGACTCCCGCTTTTTTGTCATGCCTTCCGCCTTAAAACATCGCAGCAAAAATTTCCGCTTTCTAAAAAAACTCCCTCGAAAACTCCCGATAACTCCCGTTTTTCAACAATTTCAGATTTGACTAAAGAAAAATAGATATTAAACACGTTATCACGTACCAAAGTTGGAAGGTCTGTTTCTGCAGAAGTCAAGTCACAAACCAGTCAGAGTGAATTTCATTGGTTGAAACTAGTTTTCTGACTGTTTTCAACCAATGAAATTCACTCTGACTGGTTTGTGATTTCTGCAGAAACATACCTAATACAAAATCTGAACGCTATTGAATTTATATGAATCAATCTACGACAAACCTTTCTTTCCAAGTTATGACATTATCGATGTCATAAGCACAAACCTTCGTGAAATGAACTTTAGGTTGTTTGGTAATGGGTAACTTGATGACGTCATCTGGGGTGCCTTATGGAGATTTGCATTATGTTGAGGCACCCCAGATGAGTAATAACAGTTACGAGGTAATAGGTACCTGAGCTTGCCATCTACCATCGATTACGCATGTAGTCCAAAGCTTTTCGAAAGTATGTAATTTGTTTAACAAAAGGTACTTTTGACTGATAGGGTGTTTTTAAC